CTGTAAAAATTCAGGTCACTGGTGATGTGTTGTTCCAAAAATATCAGTTGTAGGTCAAAATGAAATTCAAATTCAAATGAAAAATAATTCTCTTGACTCTAATTTTTCATGGATTATGAATAATTAGGATTAAGAGACTGAGGAATTTCATTTTAACCTAAATTTCATTTTGACCAACAACATATCCATACCCTTCCCTCTGCAACAGAATCATCTCGATGCTGTTTCGGTTTCACACTCCCTTCCATAACCCTCCAGAAATTCCAGTTTTTACCAGAATCGCTACTAATCTCGCAATCTGATTGGCTAATTTGCCGTTAACGAAGAGAGTCTAGACAATGCTGCTTGCATCAATGTGTCACGCAATGCCTTTTCCAGCATGCGCTCTGAAAAAAAAACATTTTCTTTGACGTTGATATTGTGGTCATCACAGTCGTCAAAATGTTGTGGACTCACGAGGCACAGCCTCATTCAATATGTTACTAAGCTCAAACACAGTTTGGCTTTTAAGAACCCAACCCCATAAGAATACGAAAATTATGACCTTCAAAGGGGTGAGTATGAATCTCTTCTGGACACAGTCATGTCTTGTGTGAGGCTGTGAAAATGCTTGCTCTAGAAAGCCCAAACAGTTGAGGAGGTTTAAGTGCCATGGCAAGTATTAACATGTGTAATCTCTGCTACATTTTTTTACCCCTCTTATCCTCTTCAGGATCTTTGATAGGATGACTTCCAATTTCTAATATAAGGTGTGCTTAAACACAAATGGTTAACCTTAATAGCACTTGGGTTAGCCTAAATAGTGTTCAGGTTAGCATAAATATCACTGGCTCAATAGTGATTAGTTCTCAATAGTTGTAAGGGTTTAAAAACACCCTTACAGACACCCATATCTCACATTGACTCTCACCAGCAGTGCCAATTAAATTGATCATTTTGCCATTTCATGTTTTAAACAGACCCATCATCCACACAACAAATTCAACCTCAAATTACACAAACATGGTCTATTGTATTTAAACCAAAAACAGTAAATACATTACTAGTAACATGTAGTAGACAATTTACACCTTTTTTTTTCACATCAAGAATGACACCAAGAGCTCTGAGCTAATACGGACTTGCTCTATGCAATTAAAACATCAACCAGCCCTACAAACATCTAACAGTCCTCTCCACATAAGAATGTCACCATGAGGTTCATTATTAAATCAAGAACAGTAGCTATTTCAGGAGTGCAATTATTGGATTTTTTTATTATTGACATTTAAGACTGCAGAAAACTACATATTGTAAAAATTTCTCCAAAGTGAAATCGGTGTTAATAGTAATAACACATTTTTGAATTAGTTAAATGTCATCCTCACCATCTCTGGAAGAAGACAGTCTTCCCATCCCGTCCATGAAGAAGGGAAGTTTATGCTGTCAGAAAATCTTGTATGCTGTTTTGATCTTCTTACGCACTGTGTCTGTACACAAGATCCATTTCATTCCACCATGCAAATCCCAATCCCAAATGTAAATACAGCTTTGTATTGCCAACACATATCGCTGATCAACAAATATTCACAAACCAGAAAACCAAAGCAACGAGTAATTTTTTGTAAATAAAAAAATAATTAACAAAGAACTTGATCAATGAAAGAAAAAAACATCCATAGTCTGCATCTTGTTACAGTCATTTCAGAAGCCACAACCAATCATCCAGAAAGAGTTTTGTAGGCATAAGGAGCTACAAAAATAACAAGAGTATTTAGAGTTAGTCAAACCTTTATTAAGAGAAAGGCACAACAGACCACTTTCGATATATAAAAATTCAGCTTGGTAGTGAGGCCTAGAGGACAAAAACAAAAAAAATGAATAAACATGTCATTCAATTTCTTTTGTTTGTGTCCTCTAGGCCTCACTGCCAAGCTGAATTTTAATATATCAAAAACAGTCTGTTGTATACTAATCTAATAAGTTCCACTGCACAAAAAAGTCAGACAAGCTGGAAATCACACAAGGAACCCACACTCAAATTCAAACCAGTTTGAATTTGTGGGACAAGTCACAGGGACCAAATTTTGGTCCCTGCAACTAGATTTTTTAATTGACAAAAATTGCTTGTTCACCCTATGGGACTTGTCCCCACAGCTTGTCGCAGGGACTGGTCCCCTTGTGTGCTGACCCTAACGGGGGTTGTTACATTCAGAATTCTATGGTACCAAGTTCATAGACTTGGCAGCCCCAACAGAAGGAAGCTAAAAATTTGCTTTAATTATTCCCACCCTTGGAAATTGTCAGACTTCTTTAGATATGATCGGAACTTCTATAAAAATTGCAAGGCCTCCTAAGATAAAAATCTTGATAAAAGTGCTTGTCATATAGAGAACAGCATACGACATATCGCACTTAACACAACTCACTCCAGCCCTAGCCGATAGGAGGAAGTTAGGCTTATTGGACCTTCTTGGTATGCAGTTTACTTTGACAGGTCCAGGGTTTTCACAGGGGAAAAAAGATGTTACTAAAACTGGTAACGGAGAATGGGGAACCGGGAATGGGAGTCTGGGAACAAGTGTACAGCAGTAACCCGCCAAAGAATTCAACATGGTGGACAAAGGAAAAGAAAAGGGAACAGAAATGTGATGAAGTGTTATGGTTGTAGACGTGGGTTTCTACCTGCTGTGCCCCCGAGTCCAATATGGTACTGGGTTAAACAAAGCATAAAATAGCACCTGGGCAGAAAATGGAATCGGTATTATCACATGCTTTCCCAATAGGTCAGTACAAAATGCAGACTGTAATACTGCAGACCGGGTAAAAAATGCAGACTGCAGACTGGGCACAAAACGCAGAGAGAGAATAAAGACTGTTTTTCGTCTGATACGTGACAACATGTCATCTGAAAACATACCGAGTGTCACGCAGTCACTTTTCCACGGTCATCTTTCACCAACATTAGCATTATTGTGGAATATTCCTTGATTGTTTCTCCATATATTTTGTCGTTGACGAAGCGGCCAGGCCACAGGTTATTTATCTGCTGCTCACCTGATTTTCCAGCTGACTTGCCAATCT